AGAAATATAAAATAATTCCACTTTAATATAAGTTACAAATATCATCTTTGTATAATAAATAGTAAACTTGGTGAGAGAAATTGATACGAAGAAAAGTAAAAAAAAAAACATTTGAAGAAAGCACAAACTAAATGTCTGAATATGAGCACTGCCAAACATGTAGTGATAGTTAGGTAGAACGAGGGGATGTGTGGGAGTGAAAAGCTTATGGCATGCAAATTGTTTTTTAAAAATAGTGGGCAGCACTAAACGAGAATAGCTATTTATGTGAGAGGAAGTAAGGTACCTTGTCAGAAGAGCTCATTCAGCATGCTAGCACTTATATATATTCTAATAGTACATACACACAATACGATGATATGCTATTGACAAACTTCCATAAAAATTATCACACAGTTCTTGAAACAAAATTTTACATGTCATAAATCATGAGATGTATAAGGCCTAACTTTGTATCTAAATACCCTGCTTTAACCCTGACATGTGGAAGTAGTAAAATAAATGTCACAATCAGAACTCTAGTTAGTTCAGATATTCTATTCTTAAAAGTGGAGATTCACTTGACTGCTGATACTTTTTGACTAGAGAGAAAGAATCTTTGATTTAGGGATTTTACAGAGATCCCTATAAACAATTGCCCCTCTGGTAGAGTTCAGAGTATTATGGGATGGGTTTACCACAACAGGTATGTACCCAATTTAATACAACAAAATGGCACAATTCAAGTTCTGTAAAATTTAAACAGCTTGGTGTTCTTCACTAGCTCTGCCAGGGCCCCCTCAACCCTGACAGTCCACCACTGTTTGGATTGGTTTTAATTTTGTTGATTTTACTTGATAGTGCCACTAAATTCAGGTTGTGCACAATAGTTTGTCAAGTAAGAAACTGTTTATCAAACTTAAAAAGAGAAAAGTATAATACAATAAATAAAAGCCAGTTGTTGAGAAGATATAAAACTTTATATCTTTAGTCTGTCCCTTTTTTTCCTTCAATATTTGGTACTTGTTTGTCTCAGGTAAAACAAAAGGTATATAGATAAAACTGTTAATCCTTAAGCAATTTGAAATCTACTTAATTTGTTCAATCATGAGAACTGGTATAATGATTTTCAATGATAAATAACCATTACATTTGATACCAGAACTTCTGAAATGTCACTTACTCCTGCCAATTTGATAAGTTCTTCAAGTTTCTTTCTTAGTTTATTAATAGTATTTTGTCTTTTCTCTATAATAATATCTCTCTTCTTAGTTTCATTTTCACTTGATGTAACAGAATAATTTTTTTCATTGGCTTGCAAGTTCAGGTTTTCTAAATGGTCTTGTAAACACTGTATCCTGGTTCTTGCACCAGCAATTTCCAACATCTCCTGTGAGATCTGATTCTCTATTTTATTTATTGACATCTCCTGTGAATATAAGACAAAAAATTTTTAGACTTGTATTGTGTAGAGTTAAAGGGTAAAATAAACATAAAGGTTTAAAAAAAATAAAGAACGATCAAACATACGTATGTTATAGTTATAGTCTTAAAATGTTATTTACTTTACTCTGTGATCAATTATATACATAAAACTGGTATCATATTCTATGTACTTTAATCCTTACATCAGATGGAACTACTCCAGGTACAAAGAAACATAATAGATAGAATATGAATATATATGAATCAGCAGTGTATGATTAAAAAAACCAATAAAAGTGGTTATGACTTATACTATGATTTTCTATTATTTATAGTTCACAGTTTCTATCAAATAATAATCTAATAAGTAACAGCAAGAGTTAACTGTAAAATATTTAGTCTTTAAATGCCTATAAAACCACATTAATGGATAAAAAATGTAGTTTTATTCGTTTTTAAGTTTTAGAACCTATGCATACAATTAACAGATTGTCTAGATTAAACATCTGTTTTCTGAATGGTAATTACATTAATAACTTAATATGTGCTGCTAAAGTAATTTCTGAAAATATACATTGTGAAGTAAGTAAAGAATTAATTTAATACATGCCTGAAGGTTTTGTCAAAAAAAGTGTCTAAGGTGTGTCAATTATATCTTATAAAAAAGTTCAGAAACACACTTTAAAGGTGATAATTTTTAACAAAATCAAGTGATTCAGCTTAGATGAACTTTAATGACACTGAAAACAGTCAAAATTGAGGTTCCAAAACAATACAAGTTTATGTAGATCTGGCTGTCTTTCAAGTTATTATTTATAGAGTACAAGAAGCTGTAAGCCTTCTATCATAAAATAAATCCCCAGAATATCTTACTTCATGTTTTGGAAAGTATAAAATGTATTGGATACTGAAATATATTACGAGCTTCTTAAATTAGCCACATGCCTCACCATCTAACTAGTGATGTGCATGAATGAATTAACAAGATTCCCTCTACCCCTATCTAAAGGAATGAACTTGGAGAAATTTATGAGGTTTGTACTACATTACAAGTCTCTTTTTAGTTATATAAGTGTACTTATAGTGCAAAATGAAATCTGATAAAAATTTTAAATGTTTTTTTCAACTTTTGGACTAAAAAAAGTGTCATGACCTGTTTAGGCATACTTTCTAAGTGCACTGATAATACTTGATATCACTTAATACTCATGAATTTATTATATACCATATGTCTAACAATATTTGATAGCAAGTACCATTAAAATTTGTAGCACGTACTGGAGGGATTTACACATTTTGATAAAAAGTTTTGAAAAAATGTATGTCATATGTTAGCATAGCTGTATAGTAGTGTTATAACTATACCATAATATTAGAACAATAATAATAATAAGACATATTGTTAGACACATATTATGGAAGACTTGAGAAACAGAACATTACAAGCAGTTTTATGATATAAGGAATATTTTAATATCAAACAGTTGTGTGTATTAGTCCTGATGAAGCTGCAAACAGGAAACATTGGTTAAAATTAAAAAGTTCTTTTATAAATATCTGGAATATAAAGGTCATTTTTCCTAAACTTTTTTATCAAGTACCATTAAACATTAGAATATCATACTAAACATTGTGTTTTTGATAACAAGTGAAATACAAGTTACATGAAAAAGTACTGGCTGTGCACCATACTTGTACATTTTGAAGTCATTAAGGTCTGTAGTCCACCACTTTTGTTATTGTAATATTAAACTTTAAATTTGTGTTGTATTTGATAAACTACAATATATTATTTAATAAATACACACAAATATATAAGTATAAGCTTTCAGCGAAGAATTTAGGTTAAATGCTTTTAGCAACACTCAGTGAAAGTATCGTAGCAAAATCCAAATACAGGAAATTTTATATCTCAAATATATATTCTTATCAAACTATAAAAACTATCAATACTGGTGTTGAACAAAAATCTTCATGAAACTGAAGCATACAACCATGATGATGTTATAAAACAGACTCAAAGGGAAATATGAAACAAAATAAGTTACACCATGGATATTTGTAAATATTATCCTATAACTATTTAAATTCAAATAACTCTTTTTTTTTCACATAACACAGTTTACTTAGAAGGAAAAAAAGTTACATGTCAAAGAATACCATTATGGAAGCTATCTCTTGGATATATTATTATTGTAAAAATTGAGCAGTTGGCAACCTGCTTCATGAGCTTGATCTTAAGCTACATGGATAAAAGTAAACATTGAACTTCTAGGTCCTTATGGAAAAGTTAACTTAAATAGTAGTATTATAATCAACTTATCAAATACTATAAAAAAGCATTTATTCTTTATTAAATTTACTTCATTACTATATAAACATTCAAAAATCAATGTAACCTTTGGCAGAATGTTCTTAGAATGCTACAACAGCTTTTGATTCTATTTACAACTACAATGCTAAAATTTGTATTATGCTACAATATCAACAATACATGATTTAAATGCTGCATCACTTTTCATGCTAGCATGAAAAGGCTACCTTTGCTTGTTATATTAACTTAATACTTGGTCTATTTACTGTCTACACTTATTATAGCATATATGTATATACTTTATTTAATAAGATAAGTTTCTGACCTCCTGCTTAGTTTTTTGATGAATTTTTCCAGCCATTTGTTGGTTATATTTGGTTGCTTTATTCAATGTCAGTTTTTTACGAAGCTCTTGAAAAATAGCATCTTCCTTCATTACTTTTTCTTGATAAGATGCTCTTATTTGATTCTGAATACCCTCAAGTTGTTTTTCTAACGACTGTTTTTCCTGATAATAGACAAATCATGTAATTAGTGAAACTGATGATCCCCTCAATCTTTGTTCACTTAGGCTACTTACATTTGAATACAAATATCCCTATTTAAGCTTTTATATAGCCAACTCATGCAAACGTTATAAAATTATATTATCATACAATTTCTTTGGTGCAACAAAGGATTTTCATACAAGTATTATGTCAAACTGAATTTCACCTATGATAATGAACGTGTATATTTAGCCATCCAGGTCACATAAGATCAATTTATTTATGTCTCTTGACATGATAATTATATTAAAATCCTTCATTACACCAAGAAATGTTGCATTCTAATTCAATTTTAAAACATATTATTATTGTAAGTAAGAAAATCCTCATGCAACTCAAAAATTTAGCAGAATTTCGAAACACTTTAATGAAGGCTCAGTTTAATAAGAAAACAAGAATAACACTGAAAAAAATCTAAATAATCAGATTTAAAATGTAAAATATTTTAATAGGCTGATAAAGTGAAAAAGCTATTTACTTCTAATATATGAGTCATAAAATCACAAGTGATTGAAAATGAATATTATATTATGTTTTATTTGTTAATCTACTATAATGTTCAAATTATAAGTATATAAAGCAGATTTTCAGATTACCACAAGTCACTGAACAAGCAAACATTATCTTGTTAGTAGGTTGAACCTGCAACATTTTATAAATAATAACTATTTATCAGGTTGTAAGTATAATTTATAGTTTCATAGGTAGACAAAAGCATTCTTTGGTATTTTTCAGCTTGACATTGTAAACAGTTTTACCTTTGACAGCAGACCCAAGGTTGCTTCAGTTTCCTCTATTGTATGTTCATAGAGCATGTAGTCACGCTCTAGGACAGCAAGACGAGCCATACTTCCTTCTATAGAATTCTTCAGTAATGTCTTTTCTGATTCTTGCTTTTGCAGAATTAAATTCAAATGTTCATTTCTTTCTAGCTCTTTCCTGATATCTTTTTTATAAGCTGCAAACTTTGCTTTCAATGATCGTAGTTGATCTTGACGTTTTCTAAAAGAATAAGGTATTGAAAACATAACACTTTTTATGACAAAACAAAAATTAAAAGATAAAGCTCTTTGAAAAGGTAATATTATGCATAAAAGCATAAACTCACCAAAATGACAGACAAATTTAAAATCCTTAGTAACACTTCCTATTCTGCAGCACTTGAGGCTTATCTGATTATAGGAAGATGCATGAAATAGTAGGAGAGTATCTTATGATTGTCCTGTCATGCCTCAAATTAATACTATTTTCCTCAGTCATGAAATCATTCCTTTAAATTTTATGTATACAGATTAAAAACTACACACACATCTGTATCAGTAATAAAGTATATCACTGTTACTCTATTATTACTTTTTATAAAACATTTAAATAATCTATTAAGTTATTCTACACAAGGTTTAACTGAATATTTCTAACATAGCTTACAAATAATGTAAACCTTGCTTGTTTCCAATAATGCTAAATCCTAATATTTGTTTAACAAATCAATGTGAATTTTTATATGTTGATGACACATAAAATAGTTTAAAAAACTGGTCAAACAAAATCATGCACCTTCTGTTTTTAACAGTTGGTAGAATGATGGAAAACTTAAGTATCTAATTAAAAATATAAATCTTTTTTTTAGTAAATCAAGCTTTTTTCTTATCTGAGAAATTCACAATAAATTCAGACTTGACATTACGCAATATACATAGGCAGTTTCAGTGTCATGAAAATTTTATTTAGAGCAATTATTTTGTAAGTGAGAACTACTTAAATGATGATTTTTTGTTCTTCTTTTTCAAAAATATAGATTTTTAAATTGTGCTTTTTCCATTCGATTCAAATATCAGAAAATGTAAGATCATAGTACTTCTTTCTTTATTATGGGCTCTTCCCCAAAATGATGATTTGAAATGCACATAAGTTACCTGAACACAACATTCTCAAAACAATCAGTGCTTTGCTAGATTACCTACCATCGTTAATAAATGTCTTTGGTAAATGTAGATTTAATATTTTTTGAAGCATTTGTGAACAACAAGATAAATCTGAACAATAAAAATCAGACCTATGGTACGTCACAGTATATATATAAGGGTTATTTATTTTTAATGTATTTAACTAATTTTGACAAATACATATAATTCAAACCATTATTAATTATCAGCAAGAACAAGCATGTTATCAGACAATAAATTAATAATAAATATTCAAAAGAAATGTCCCCACTATTTACCTGTCCCAAAATATTTTGTATCCTGTTTTACTTGGAGATTTCAAAACACTATTTACAATAAATTATTTGCCTTTTACATGGTAGACATACGAAATAAGCTCACACATTGTATCACTATTACTCATTTTTATTAACAGTGCGGGGTCTGAGGGCATTTTGAAAAAAATCACTAAGTTTAACATTAACATTGGTAACTAACTAGTAAAAACAACAAAGTGAAAATAAGTAAAACTGTATGTATTTCATTTTCATATTGTTGCAAATCTAAAATAAATAGTAAGAAAATTATTTAATATTATAAACTTTTTCTGTTTACCTATTGTACAATATTACATTTGTCATTTTTGTAAAATTACTTATTAATGCTATAAAATAGGAAAATGTGTTAATTAAATTATTTCATAAATTACTACTTACCTAAGAAGTTCTTGGCCTGCAGCATAAGCCTCATCACGCCGAGACATGGCTAGAATGCTTTTTTTCCATTCTTGTAACAGCTGCTGCTTCTCTAATTGAACTGACTGAAATTATAAGAAAAGACTTACAAGGATTGGTCAAGAGTATGTAAAATAGTTTTAACTGATGGATTAAACATACTATTGATCACTATCATGCTGCCATTTTTCAACCTCACTAGATACCAACTGTGAGATAGCAAATATATTTTTTAGCTATATTGTGTACATACTTTTATTTCTACAACAATACAGAATCTTTTGAAAACAAATAAGTGTTCACAGAAATAATGAACCAAAATTACTGATTTTTTAAAATTTTCTGCATGACATTTATGCAACACATGGTAAATCAGCCAGGTCACGGACCCTTAAAGTTCAGACATTGCTAACCCTATTTTGAACCACTGATCAGAAGAAAGGTATTCAGACAGCAGCACCCACTAAAAAAGGGCTGTTATTAGTTTTTTGAACTCAATAACAAGATTAACTGTTACTTTTATACCACACCCACTGCCAAACATGCTGATTAACTTTATGGACATTAAAACTCAAACTTTGGACCCTTTTATCTGCAAAGATAACCACAGGGCTATTCCCTGGCCATATAAAAATTACTTATTTCAAACAAGAAACAAATGTTTGAGTTATATTTTAGAGACTAATTGCAAAAATTTAAATCCTGTACAATTTCTTATAATAATTAACTTTATAAAATTGGTTATAATAATATTGTTTTATATTTTACTTTCTTAAGATATTTGATAAATTACAAACACTTTTATAAAAATAAACTTGTTGGCTTAGCATAAGGATCTAAACCTAACCGAAATTTAAGTGAGATTATAGTTGAAAACATTATTAACAGCAGGGGGTTCTCAGATGATTACTTAATGCAGTCTATTCATTTCACTTTTTTGTTTTCTTACTGGTATATTATTCATCAATTTTCAACTCTAATGACTAATATATATAAAACTTTACTGTAGTAATTAGTTTATGAAAATTTCAACACATATGTAACACATACTTATTATTTAGCACACCTTAAATGTAAATCACTTAATTATTTTAGTATTAATCATAATGTTAGCTTACTATCAGAAGTTATTAACAAATGATTATCGCTGTTGAATAGATGAACAAAAAATAAAATGTACTATTCATTGATATGGTTAGTAGATCAAAGGATGAACTAACTCTAATCATTAGTTACTAACTTTTTACTATTATCATGATTATTACCGATACTTATTAGTTTATATGCTATAGCATACCACCCTTTCTAACAAAAAGAACCAGAACTGAATCCTAGCATTACTAATGTACAAAACCCTTCTCGGTACTTCCCTGCTGATGGCAGCAGATTAGCATCTGAAATGTAGGATATAAACTAATAGTAATAATAATATAAAAAGTGACTAATTAGAATTAGATGACCATATAGGCTACTAACCAAGACAACCATTTGCCTGACTATTTTATTTGTCTCACTCGACCTCAAAATTAAGATGATTATACTTGGGGTAGAGACTGTTTGGAAGTATTCTCTAGAAATGGCTTAAACATATAAGTTGACCTATCACTGATAAAGGTACATTAACCCCATTTCTAGAACATATCAAGGAGCAAAGTTTGATAGTTATATAGAAAATTCTAATGTAATTATAAAAGTAAATTAACTATCAGACTACACTAAAGAAGTCTCCGAGACATAAAAATCTTTATTTTAAAACCAAAATGATATTTTTATTTATACTTGTTTTTAAAAAAAAACAACTAAAAAGTGTATTTTTGCTACTAGATCACACTGATTTATTTCTCATTGTTTTTGATTTAAGCTCCTTCTGTCTATTACATACAATTATATTAAATTACACCTGTTGACTTAAGAGTAGATTGGTCACAGAAGCTTTTTGTAGTTTGTCTATTACTTATAATTAAGACTATTTATTAATAATTGTAATTATCACTGTAGAATTTTAGCAGCTCTTCTGGTAGATGTAATTACATAATTATTATTCTATTTTATCCCAAACAATTTGGAGCATGCAATTTGCAATCTGTTACATTGAATCTTTATATGTGTTATTTATAAGCTATTGTTGAGACCTTTGTTTGGATGTGTAAAAAGTAAAAGGAGCATATGTTTAGGAGTATATGTTTAATTTAATTATAGTTCAGAAACAATGACTAAATGTGAATCTGTGTCTAATAGAAATAAAAGCTTGATTTCAACTTTGTGTGGTTTAAGTTCAAAGAGGAACAAAGGTCATGTTCTTATCTTGTCATAGATGAATAGTCTTGCTGATGATGTGAGTTGTTCACCAAGACAATGCAGTTTCTAAGGCAGTAAAATAGCATGATTCATCCTAAGTAAAGTACCAGACAAATATCTAAACTGTTCTGTAACTCTGACAAGAATGACTTTTTCACATTAAAACCTATTATCGATATAAATAAACGTCAACATGTGTGTGTGTGTGTACCCGTGTATCTGTTCCTTATACGTTTCCACATTTCTTGATCAATCAGCACCAAACTTGATACAGTGATTCAGGATGACATGAGGAAGGTCATGAGGGTGGAGAGTGGGGGTTTGGACCCCCACCTAATTTTATGTTGATAGAATTCTTGAAAACAGTATGACTTTCTTTTCGGTATTGGTACCTTTATGTATTTTTATTGCAATTTTAATCTTTATTATGTTAACAAAAAAAATAATATGATTTTGCAAAATTGTATTTCTTGCAAAGCATGATATAAAGCATAACTGAAGTTTTAAAATGAGTGATAGAGAAAAGTCTTGTATTAACATTTTGATAAAAGAGTTTGTCTGTTGTTTGTAGTTAAGGACAAACTACACAACGGACTATATGTGCTGTGCAAACCACAAGTATCAAAACCCCCTTTTTTTAACGTTATAAGCCTCCAGACATACCACCACACCATTGGATGGCTTGGTAAAAGAGATTCAGTCATTAGACCCTCAAAATATAGGATGAAAACATGCAAAATACAGGTTTTTTTGTTATAAAAATAAATAAACAAAATAAATTTCATTAACATAACAAACACACTTGAATTCATAAAATCACTTGAGTAGCTTACTTACCAGCAGCAAGATTTTTGATAACATAAGCAATATTTCAAATTAGATTGTTAAATGTTGTATACAACAACTTGAACCTATAATTTTTTCATCTTTTCACACTCAGGACATTTAACCTCAGGCCTAGGTGAGGTGGGTTTGGTAAACTCATTCCCTTACATGGGTATTATTTCACTAAAAAATTTAATGAACATAGCCAAATTAAAAATTCTGGATTTCAAAATACACATACTTTTTTAAGCTTTCATTGTTCATTTTAAGAAAAACAGCAGAGACTACAATGCAAATAGTAGTATTGACCTTGTAATTACCATGATTTTTGGCATGCATTACTCATTAAAACTCATTGTTTAAATGCTAGAAAAGTCTGAAAATAGATGCAAGTTTCTTGATATTTCTTTACCAACCATCTAGCACTCTATATTACATTAGGTTTCAGGCAAAGTGTGTATAGATGTTATTTCAAGATTAAGTTATGTTTTTATACTGTATTTTTAGCATTATTCAGACTTGGTATTAAACCAGATCATAAATTCAGTTCCAAAATACTTTTGCAATGATTTTGCTGGTTCTAGTTCTTGGCTGTGAACTTACATCAAAACTAATAACACAGTAAACTAATAATGGCTGGAGACGGCTTAAATGGGTAATGAAGAAA